TATATATACATATAAGTTGTATGTATGTATGTGTGTGTATGTCTGTGTATGTGTACACATATATACATGCTTCTCTCCTCGACTGAAACTACATTTTTCCCTCTTTTTTTTCTTAACCTACAATTATGTTTAGCGACGTAACACGAAATAATGAGTATGTTTTAGCTGAAAAATATTTGACGAATATTTTCGAGAACACAGAGAAAGTGAATTGACCAAAAAATTTCACTGATATATTTAAATCTGAACGACCAAAAGTCAACGTTCCCGCCATAACGATTTTGACTTATATCTCCTTACATTCTTCTGTGAATGAAGTTATGTACAATCAACATTTGAAGAAAATCCAATGAAGTCGTTAGAAATGATCAACATAAACAATAATATATCAAAAAAGGATTCTTTTATCGTTGTTTTTCTTCTTCTTCTACTTATTCTTCTTATGATTCTTCTTCTTCTCCTCTCTCTTTAATATCTTCATCTTCCTCTTATATCATTAAATGTTTATTTGTCTATATCTTTTCCTCTTCTTTTTTTTTATAACATACACGTATAATCCTATACTGTGGATCGTAAAAATATTTGGCACTTTTTAAAATTGAAACACTTGTTCTAAATCGAAGAAATTGTGCTCTAAATTGTAAACAACAAATAGATATATTCAATTATATTATTTAATAGTTTGGAAAGATTAAACAGTGTTAAATAATTGTTAATAGATTATTAAATGAATAATTATTACAAATTCAGAACTTTTTCGTTCGATTTAGGCAGTGTCGATCAATTAGAAAAATTGTCCAATCATTTCAATGATACACTTCGTTTACACGTGCTATTACTATGAGAAGAGAAAAAGTAAAAAAAAATTGAAGAAAGAAGAATAAAGAAAGAAAGAAGGAAAGGAAAAAGAAGAAGAAATGAAAGAATTAATGAGAAAGTAAGATAGACGGGCACTCTCTTATTATATACAGCTCTCTTGTATTCGATTCGAGCGCGTCACCACTTCTGGTTGATGAAATTTCCCCTGAGCAGAAATTGACGAAGAGACCGGCCTCTGCGGCATCGACGATAAACATTTGCTCGTCCTTTGAAGGCTGTAATACACCTGAAAGCAACGCGAATGATATTTTTTCAACGTTGTAATTGTCATTGTCATTTTCGTCTTCGTCTTCGTCTTCGTCTTCGTCTTCGTTTTTGTCTTCGTTTTTGTCTTCGTCTTCCATATATATATATATTTAATATATATAATTTTTAATATATAATATATTTTTAATATATTAAATAATTTATTATTTTATTATAATATATTAGTAATATATTATTATATGTAGAATGAAAGCAAAAAAGCTGCGCACCAATCGAATGAATCAATTAGTTGAAATTATCAATTACCTAAAGGATTTAATTATAAAGGTAACTTATGATCGTTTTGCCCGATATCTTCGTAGTTAATCATATCATCCATTATCGTGTTAGTAGCAGCCATGCATAACCATATACCGAATATTATATAAGATATAAAATATATTTATATATGTAAATATTTAAGAGATATATTATAATAAAAAATATATAATATGTTTGAAAATAAAAGTGAAAGCAAGCGAGATAAAGTAACGAAATTAAAATGAAAAATTAGAAAGTAGCATAAAGCGAAAGATTTGAAAGATATTTTTGTAGTTTATTAAAGCGAAAACGAAATTGTAATTAACGTTAAATTAAATAATTATCACATATTAGATATGATCGCATATCATAACTATAATACGTACAATTAAAGTGAGATATCTATCTTTTTAAATGATATCAATCGATCGAAAATACAATTTTGATATTAAAATTATTCGAAATCACCTAAGGCAATCACCTTTAGGGCAGATACAAAAGTCGGCTTCAAGAGGAGTTATGCGCATCGGGACTGGCCTCCTCCTCGAATTATCGAGAAAACTTCAAGGCAATTAAACTTACGAAGGTACAGATAACCCAAGACTCCGCTAAACCGGAAAAGTTAAAGTGGAAGACTGCCGCATATTAAAGCGAGTGAACTTACCCTCCTGTGACCCACCTCCCACCCCGTCATTCTTTCTTTTTCTCTCTTATTCTCAGACTTTTATCCTTGTTTCTTCCTTCCCCGTTTTACCTTCATCGTCTTCCACCGAAACTCCAAATCTTTAAAAGAAGCTCATTCGTTTAGTCAAGGACACTTAAAGTACCGTCCTACGCTACTCGAGCACTTAAAAGTACGGAGAAAATAGATTAAAAATCACACTATCCCTTAATTTCAATCCTAAATTCGAATCTTTTATCATTTCACCGTTACATTTCTTAATAATTTATTTATTATTTTCGTTTATTTTGAAAATTATATAATCTTACTATAATCGCACGTATATCATATTACTATATTACATATATTTCTATATTAATGTTTAGGTATCTAAAAAAATTAATTGTAGATTATAAGTTACGATAAAAAAAATACCGATTATATATTCATAAACTATGTAATTATTGTGTTAGTGTTAGCCATGCATAACCATATATACCGAATATTATTGGTCAATGCGTAGAAGAAAAAAAAAAGAAATAGAAAAAGAAAGTAAAAAAAATAAAAGTATACGAAGTTTAAGAAGCAAGCTGATCACTCACATTTTGGTTATTACGTTGGTTGTAGGCTTCCATAGCCATCTGTTTAAAATCCGCCATGGTTGGCTGATGGCTAAAAATTGTCTGATGTGGGACATGATTATGCGAATAATTTATGGCGGATGTTGAAAGACAATCGGCGAGTACAGGATCCGATGGTAGATCCAAACCGTGCTGAACGATCGGCCTTTTCTCAGGCGATGTAGCTTCGTCCGTGACTCGATCCTTTTTTCTTCGTTGAGGTGGTGTCTTGTAGACGGGCGTATACGTTAAGGGTCTTCTTTCTACGAACAGATTTTAGGAAGCCATGTTGAGCCCACGTTAAGTCAATTAGATCGTTTAAATCAAGATGGGTAAATTAAGCTTCTGTGTTTCTTATTTTTATTTTTTTTTTTTACTTTTACTTTCTTTTTATCGTTTCCGTTATTACAGATTTTATCCGATACGAGAGTAAGCTAATTATAAATATAAGAAAGAAAGATAAAAAAATGTGAAATAAAAGAAACCATGGAAAATTGAATAGATTTTCTTTGATAAGATAGAAAATAATCAATTTATATTTTAATTTACAATTATAAAAGAAAGGTAGATTAATGAACACGAGCTTGTTTCAACAAGCTATGAATCATTGTCTTTAGTGAGAAGGTTAAATTGAAGATTCTTCGCTTTACTTAAGAGTTATCTACCTTCTTTCGTGTTCTTTTGACTGTTAATATGCGAGAGTGTTCAGGAATTAGGAGTGCTACGATAAAAGATTTAAAAAAATGTCTACTCAGTTCTCTGGAAAAGTCGAAAGGTCTTACTCGCTGATAAAGTAACGGTATTCCTAGGCAAAGCTTTTCAACTCTAAGCCGAACAGCGCTGTACTTAAAGTCAATTTAATATTTAACGCGTGTACTATCAGCCACTTCTGTGAATCATGTATTTTTTCTACTGTTCAAGAGACTCTTGAAACTCTTTTAAAAAACCCATTTATATTCTTACAGAAGTATTCAAATGTCTTGTTATTCAATTTCAAGTGGTATTGAATTCCATTGATAAAACACACTTTGAAAAAAATATATATATATATAAAACTCTTTTTTCTAATAATATTTTTAAAAAATACCTTTTGTAACGAATTAGTCACTGGACTAGTTAGCGAAATTCGTTCGATTATTAGAACTTCGAACAATATTCATTTTTTTTTAACGTTGTAAGTTGTATGAAATGTTAACAATTTCCGTGTTAAAACTTTAATGCATCTTTTATAAATTTAACAATTACGTAAAATCATTAATAAAAACATATTTGCAAAATGAAGAAAAATTCTTAAATTGTGATTACCGATTTAATAGATTTAATTTATAAGTCAATCTTCGATGAATTTGATTACCTTTTAAAATTCTATCTATCTATAATTCAACTCTCTATATAAAGCTTCAAAGTGTTAACACTCTTTTTTTATTAGCTTGTGTATGATAAATAAATAGGGAAAGAAAAGTGAGGCAAAGGTGAAGAAAAGTTAGGTCGTTCCTTTACCATATTCGTTAGGTATGATGTCCGGATCGATGTCATCGACCGCCTGCTTGGTCTGAGGGTGCACCGGGGTGGTTGCACCTGCATTAGGTGGCTCGCACACGATCGGAGCGTGCTTTGGACTTCCGGCACGGTCGTTCGAATGCTTCCGGTAGAGCGCTGCCACGATACCAACTACAGCCATGACCAAAAGGGCCGCCGTAGCTATCAGACCCAGTAGCAATGGACTCAGCATCGATGCATCCGTGTTGCCTGTCGTAACAGCAACGGAAAATACTCGATCAACCGAAACTTGTATCGATCTTCTCACTACCCTTCCACTTTTATCTCTATAAACTATCCCTTTTCTTTCATTTCCTTCTTCCACTCTCTTCTGTTCACTGTTTTTTACAGTTTATCCTATTTACATTACTCCTACAAGATAAATTTGTTAGATAATATTATATAAACAAATGTTCCACAAAATAATAGTCGTCTAATACAGATTATTACTTTAAATAATTTAATAATTCTGTAAATTAGATACTTTTAAAAAAGCTTCTTGACAAAAACAAATTAATCCAGTTATATAACATAATAACTTTGATATTACGTAAATTTGGAAAAAAAAAAATAATATTATACAGCTTTTCGTAATCGACATTCTTACCGATCGGATGTATTTTATAATTTTTAAGTGATACGGTAGACCATTGGTCAGTTGAGAAATTAGCTTGTATCGCTATACGTCATTCTTGATAATATCTATTCTAAATTCTTTTTTCTTTTTTTTTTTCTTTTTTTTCCTCGTTCTATCTCTCACGTCGAGCTTCTCAGAGCTTCGCGTTTTCGGTTCCAATGCTTTAACGTTCGATCTTCCTTTGTTCGCGAAAACGAAAGCACACGGATGAAAGATACCCTACAACTTTCCTATTATTGACATGCGACGATGTGTAATACAAAGAGAGAGTCTGCCGTTGAATGATAGATCTAAAAGCGATCATTGCACTGAGCACATGCTGAATCATGTGTATAAGCTGACTTTTTCTTTACTCCCCCTCAATTCCTCTCTTTCTCTCACTATTTTCATTTCTATCTATCTATCTTTCTCGTTTTTCTTTTGAATGGTACTTTGAAAACTTTTGAGTTCGATTTGAAAAGCGAAATTCTCTTTTTCCAATAATAATGCCCGAACGATTCGGACAAATAGATATTTCAGAAGGAAATAATTATGAAATCATATTTTCAATTCCTTTGATATGCTCTCGTAATTTACGGCTCAACAGAACACCCGATCCTAAAGTTTTAAAAGAATTAAATTTTTTTCTCATTTATGAGAGAAAGAGAGAAAGAGAGAGAGAGAGACAAGATCTATTCTTTTTATCCTATTTTTATTCTCTTTTAAAATCTGCATCCATCTTATTTAACAATTGTTCATTAAAAATTTGAAAAAGAATATTATTGTTAATCCTTCTAACTGCTAGTTGAAACCAACAAAAGGCTATTTTTAATCCGGTTTAAAGTTGTTTTTTTAATATGTTCACTTATTTGTTCTTTTATTCTTCCCCTTTCTCTATTTATCATGAAGACCTAAATGCGTTTTCATTACAGTAGTATGAACATATGTATCTATGTACGTACGTGCCTTTCACATCCAGATAACGTAGAGATATGGAAGTTACATCTCTCTCTCTCTCTCTCTCTCTCTCTCTCTCTCTCTCTATCTCTATCTCTTTCTCACACACTCGAATGTTACACTCGTCGTCTCACTGAAGCATGCGACAAACTCGCCCATCAATATCACCGAGGTCAGCTTAATAAGCAGGACCATAATTAACGAAGGTATGTCTATAATGGTGCTATTACCGTTCACCTGGTTTGCGTGTATAAATAGAGATGCGCGATCCTGTTACAATGTGTATCTACGTGGTACCATACTCTATGTATTTCTACGAGCTCCATTATACATGTAGAACAATTTACACGACTTAACGTTACATAATGATCTCCGCAAAATTGTTCTCGGAAAGAGAAGAAAGGAAAAAAAAGAAAAAAATAAAAAAGAAATGAAAAAAAACCACTCAACAGAACGAAAAAATGTCTACCGCAGAATTTACGTTACACATAGTAACTTTTCATTTTCTCGTAATACCGATAAATAAAAACGCGAACACAACAATATCGTTGGGAGAAAAAAATGATAGATACATATAACGTGTTTATAACAATGAAATATGAGGAAGTAGTACTCGGTTGCAGTAAAATATCAACGTTACAATTTTTGTATAGAAAAGTGTTTCTAATTTTCTATCTTCACACTTTGCGTTAGAATTACAAGAGAGAAAGAGAGAGAGAGAAAAAAAGAGTCAGAGAGAGTAAGAGGATTATTCCACGAAATGAAATGAATAACAATGCATGAAAACAGAAACATATAATTTCACATGGATTATTTCCTGTGCATTTCCTAATTAATTTTATCTCAATCAGTTTACGGGTTCAAAACTTTAAGCGACCCACAATTAAAATTTATTGCATACAATGCGTATTAATAGTTACATGTAAAACAAACGCCGCTAAGTTGCTATAATGCATCTATACAAGCTAAATGCTAATAATTACAACGATTCGCTATTGTGAGAAGAATATATGTGTATATACTAGTCATCTAATCTCACATTACGACCATTAACCCGATCGTAAATATCATGTTGGTAAAAAGTAAAAAAGGCTATAAATGTTTCAACGAAATTTACAACAGCATTCAAGCCGGTAATTCATAATTATTGGTACAATTTACAACTTACGACGATGCTTGGATATATTCGAAGTTAACGACGGGCAAGAATCCAAACTCGTGAATTTGCATTAAAGGTATTTATTCGATGACTCAGCGATCGTACTTATACCGATATACATACATATACCTACACATACACGTACACATGTATACGACAATCCGCCAAATCGTTGTTCCCTACCATTGGCAAAACTTACAGAAATGAGCCAATGCACAGAGAGTCGAAGTTCGATCTGGAATTAGAATTATGACGGTTAAGTGATCTTTGTTTTTTTTTCTCTTTCTTTCTTGAATTCGATCAGACATAACATCTTGTAGATATTGGTTTCATCTACTTTATACTGAAACTTTATGATCTTATATTATTACTATTACAATTGGAGTTGAAACTGAAAGAAATAATGATGCAGCAACAACGGAAACGGGCACGTGTACTACTGTCTCGACTATTTGCCGAATATTGACTTAGCCGTTGACACAACGCTTGGCGATAGTAACAAAAGCAAAACAGCGAAGGACAGCGAGAAAGACAGAGAGAGGATGGGAAGGGACGGAAAGAGAGGGAGGGAGAAAGAGAGAGAGTCAACAGCTACAATACAAGATTTCACAAAAGCTGATTAATGGAGCTGCGATTATCCGATGAGCCACGCTGCAACGCGGATTTGTCTCGACAGCAATCAGAAAACATTCCGTTGCTGTTTCCTTTGCAGGCATTGTTATTCGACGCTTCTCTTTCACGAGTACACTTAAGATACACAATGCGCGTGTCGATCGGATACTACTTCTCTGTTCCGGTGAACAAAGATACTCAATCAACGGTGTTTTATGAAAGAGCACGATGTTGTCCACACAAGCATACGTATATACCATTCATACGTAATCAATGGTTTCGTAAATGTACAGTCAATCGTAGCTAGAAAACGATACAAATAGTAACATAGAGATCCTTTCAATACATTTTTCTATCAATTTAATAAAGAGGGATTCATAAATGAACAGCAATATTAATTAACTTGTAAAATGCTCCCACCCCCAAAAAAAAGATTAAGGAATATATTTAATATTTTGTTAACAATTTAACACACACACACACACACACACACATTAATCGTAAAGGAGAAATAATTCATTTTTATTCGTAAAAGTGATACTATCAAATATTTCCTTTTGTTACACTGAAATAATGACATTTCAATATAACATGTCATAAAAATATTTAGATTCATTTTTAGGCATGTTTTATTGTTCTTTAAGAAACATATTCGAGAGTTCCGATAATTCGTCCTGCCAATTTTTCAAGAAGGTATCAGAAGAAACATCAAATATTCTCCGAATTCAAGGATGATTTTGCTTCGTTTCTCTATCGAAGGCGATGCCATTTCTCGGGCAAAGCAAAGCTCACTGAAGGGAATAAAGGACTGGAGTTTGAGTCAACACAGTAAGCGATACGCCTGTCATTCGTTTGAGTAGTTTCGATATCGAGAGGAATAGAGGATAGAGGAGATGAGTAAAAGGAAAAAATCGAGAATGGAATCGATGTGTGAATAAACGCGTGTCTGTGTGTGAACAAAATAGAAGAGTTTTCGTGAATACTACGTGAGTATTCTTTTGCCCTTCAAAGGTGGGAAAATGACGCGGTGTACCGCGAGACCAGCCAGCTTTAAGGTACACGAACAATTTGTCCTAAATCGAAGCAATCCCGCGGAAACTCAAAAACAATTTCGAAAGAATTGCATTCTAAAACCATTCGCGTAGTAATAGCTCCGGGCTAAACAACCGGCCACACCGACGTTCGTTCAACTTTCGAAGAGAACGTATCGGCAACGAAGAGAATAGCTAAAATCGCTGAGAGACCAAACTACTCGATGCTCATATTTTCGATCGAAAAACATCCCAACGAATATCTACATTTTTCCTATTTTCTTTCTTATCTTATACTAAAGATTTATTTATTATTATATTTTAAATGATATTATTTTCATTATTATTTATATACAAAATGATTCTCTGAGAGAAGTAGAATGGAATACTGATCTTTTTTATGTGTAGATAAAACGATGCGACCGTCAGATGCAATTATATATATAGTTAACATATTTGATTTAAATAAAACTATAAAAGTGATATTACATAATGGAAGGTTTCATCCAATTTCTTGGTTATAACTGACCTCCTCCTGTTACCATCAAGCGAAAATGTTCCAAAGAGACCGCAAATAGGCTCTACCCAGGCGTAGGTGGCTTGGCATTCGAGCAAATCAGCGCCGCGGGCTTACGCTCGTCAAATCAATATTTGCACCTCGGCGGGGACTCGCGCATACAGAAAGGGAGAAAGAGAAAGAGAGACAGACAGAAAGAGAAATAATAGAAAGTGTTAGTAGGAAAGAACAAAAGTAGCAGAAGAAATATCACTTGCATTAAAGAAAAAAGGGAAAGAAATAAAAAACATACCAATTAAAACCATTTTTAAAAAATTAACAATTTTTGTCATGTAAAATTATTACTTTCTTTTCAAATTAAACAAAATAAAAAAATTAATAATAATTAATTGATTTCAATTATTTACTTAAAATAATTGATTGAAATGAATTTATTTGATTCTTATTCTAACTAGGATATAACTACATAGAGTAAATCATTCATCCCATTAATTAATTCGGTATTTATCTATAATTACATATTACCGATTCATTCTATTTGAATTTGATATGAACATTGCAGATAACAAGATTCGATATGGGCAAACTTTGAATCGCAAAACGAAGAAGAATTAAATTTCCGTATGATCTGTTCATACAAATATGTAAAATATTCAGGTCTAACCGAGGTAAAAGAAGGAACACGCCACATTTAGCTCACTCTACGTAATCTCTTTTGCGGTATAAGATAAGAGAAGAGAAAAGAAAGTAGAAAGAAAGGAAGGAATAAAAGATGGTTTCTGCTAGCGTCGCTAGCCGAGAAGCATGGATCCGGAAAATCGTCCTTTTCGAATAGCGTATCCTGCGGTCTAGGCTTTCACGCTTGTCTACACAGTATATTTATTATATACACGCGAGTTTTTCTTTTAGATATAAATACAGTTAAAAGCGTGCTGTGTGTATAGACGCCATTAATTGTCTAGACTTTTCAAACATCACGAATGAAAAACACATTTATCTATAACTTTTTTTTTCTGTAATACAAATTATCTATCAAAATGATTTTTTTGTTCAGTCACGTAAAATATTTGTCGATTTAGTCATTACAGAAATTAAGATATCATACTACTAATAATTCTCAATATCTTCTCTTGATTATACCTAATACGATAGAAAGTTAAAATGAGATGGACGTGGGTAAATGGATAGAGGGAGGAAGAGAGAGAAAGAGAGAGAGGGAGCATTAGGGATGGATGATGCATTGAAAGCTAGCATCAGAATGGTCGACGCACGCGTTACATGACCAGTAGAAGGGAGAGGGAGTAAGAGTGAGAGGGACGATGTTCGTTGATTGAGAGTAATCTGTTTTGTTAATTGCAAGGTCCGCAGAGTTCGATACCTGTGGTCGCATTGCGCTGTGTTCAGCATTACAAACCAGCCCTCTCCCAGGCTGGAAACTGACGATTCCTCTCTTCTCTCTCACTCTCTTCTATTCCCTCTCTATTTCCATCTCTCTCCCTAACTCTCCGACTCCGCGATCCGCCTCGAAACATCAGCGACCACGGTGCGAACCTCTCATGAGGGGATGGTTAACCGACTAATTGCAATACCGACGCGTCTACTCTGGACTATTTGTGCAATCGAGATTATATGCGTCGTCCTTGTGTCTCACCCATCAACCTATGTTTCCACCAATTTCCAATAGTATCGTGTGCCCGTTGGGAAATAAAACATGTTATTTAATGCGTATCTTTGAAAAGTTTTCAAAAAATAACCGAGATAATCGAGATCGAGTTAGATAAGTTTCTTATGAAATTCATAAGGACTGTTAAATAAATTCTATTTTTTTTATAACATATTTTTGGTAGCTTACTCTTAAAAGTATAAAATCAATAAAAAACAGAGAATAGTGATTTGTGCATTATATCAAATGTAGAAATAACTCTATCATTTAATTTAATTTTGTGGTATACTATTATATATATACAGAAATTTAATCACTAAAGGAGAAATGTAATAATATTCATTGAAACGAAATGAATTTGGTATGACATAAATTTTACGAAATTAGTGAACGCTTTTTGATATAGTTAGTAATGTATATAGATACAATGTTACGTGCCAATGATTATATCTAACTGAAATATTTCTTCTTTTTATGCTTTTACGTTCTATGACCCTTGTAACAATAGGGCTCAAGTAGCAACGTCACTCACGAGAGCTTACGATGTATTCCGGGAGCATGTGAATTGTATAAAAGCTATTTCTTCCTTTTCTTATTGCCTCGTAGTTTTTTTTTCTATTTGTCTTGCTTCTTCATGATATTTGTGTGCGAGATATTTTTTTAACTCTTCGGTTGAATTTTTTCCATCATTTTTTTCGAATACTTCTAGGAAGGAAGACAATTAAAAAGATTACAAACGACTACCAACTTGACTAACGTTTCTCCTTTATGTTTCCTTTTTTTTTCAATGTATGCTCAAGTCTTTTCAACATCGAATTTTCATATTTTTCAAACAGTTGACACGAAGAATCAAAAAAAAAAGAAATGAGGAAGAGAGAAAGAGAAAGAAAAATGACTCCATACTTTTGCTGCTCGCAAAGTAGAAACTTAACAAATTTACAGAATTATAACTATTTCGCGTTAAACAATTTTGTTTTCAGACTATTTAGACTAACTTTGTTTTTTTTTTCAGCGCATTCAAACTAACTTTGTTATACAGTCTCGTTAATAGTTGAATGTTTTAAATTTAAAGGAAAAATACTTTTTCTTCTTTTTTCGTTTATTTAAATAAGTTGGGAAAACCATTTAACGTCTAATCGTTATCCAGTTCCGCTTGGAAAACTTTTTCTTCATCTTGTTTTATTTATTTTTTTTTTTTTTAACATCCTTTTTTAGATTTCGAGGCATTCGTAAGCTTTGCATTCTACCCTTAAAACCCCTTCTGTCGATTCTGTTTCGATGGTAGTAGTATTCATTCGGTGAAATCAGAAAATGGTGTGACATCCACAGCGGTACTATTCAAATAGTTCACACCATACTGTTACAACGAATACATGTGCAAACACTTTGTTTAAGAATTTTCGGAAGCTTCCTTTGTTCCCAAGACGACTCAGTTTCTCCTTTCTCTCGTGCATTCGCTCGCTATGCTAGTCAGAGAGTAATACGAAAATAATCACGTAGTGTAACGAGAAAAGTTCTCGCCTTCCTTTCGAAATAATGCGCGACTACGAAACGAGATTGTTTCTCGAGGAGTTATTAAACTTGAAACATCATAGTGTCACGATTGTCTCCAACCTAGGATCGAAAGTTAACGCTAATGGATTCGTTTATATCATTTAGTCAATAGCTTAATATTGAATAGTAGGTATATATCTCTTGAATTCATTTATCAAACTTTACTACAATATCATCACGCAATACGTATGCATACTTGATATACAATATTAAGAAATTCTAATTACAATTACGGTGAAAGCTTACATTCAGCAATTTATAAACATACCCATATAAAAAACATTCGCGCGCGAAAATATATTTCATGTAAAATGTTTAGCACGTTAAAAACTCAAACGAATTATTCATATATTATTTCATAAATGTGTTTTCGATCGGAAAACGAAAAATTATTATTGTTTTTCGTTTTATTTCGAATAAACTAATTATTATTGTAAAACGAATCATTAATGCATTAATGAAGAAACCTACTATGACTAGTTTTTAATCTTGAATTAAAATTCTGCGTACAATGTTATTGACCATTTTTCATTTAATATTACAACGATAATGTAAATATTAATATTAGTTTATATCATTATTTAAAACTTGTTTTATTTATTATTTAAGCCCCAGTACCAAAATTGAAAAAAATATAACTTTTGTTAATAAACCGGCCATCGAAATATAAATTGTTAATATATTTAATATTAAATAGAGAGTCAACAAAATGTATTTGCGTTAGGATAAAAAATAAAATTAGAAAATATTTACCGGTCGTATACATGGCGACACCTTTAAGCGTGACAGGTTCCAAAATGGCGGGATCACTTCTACCCTTGGCGTTAATAGCGAAGAGATAGAGACGATAACTCTTGCCAGTTGTAAGGCCGGTGACCTCAAAGGTCGGTCCATTTGGATTGGTCGGCAGTGTTTTGTTCCATAGAATCGATCCGTCCTCTTCGGATACAACCTCCAATTGATAGCTATGGATAGGTAGGCCTCCGTCGTAACCGTCTAAACAACGTACGATCAGACCAGTTCCTGATTTCGTGCCAAGCTCCTCCACATCCAAGGGTGCTGACATTTCCGTAGCAGTGCAGTTGTGTAGAGAATAGGGACGACCAGCCGCTATCACCTGAAGACAATTGTCCATAGGTCAGATCGATTCACCTCGATCTACGAGCACCTTTTCAAAGTTCTAACGTAGTTAAGGCTATACCCTTTGATATCATGAACCTGACCTTGACAATGAAAAATGGATCAAACAATGAAATATATTGCATTACGGAAAAAATAAAGAACACCTATCATTTTCGATGTAGAAAAATTTATTCCATTTTTAATTTACATATATGTATTTTCAGTATTTGTAAACTATTATTATTATTTTATTAAAAATTATTATGAAATATTATCAGTAATAATGGATATATTGTTGTACTTCATTAAAGAAATAATTAATATAAACTACGATAAATGTTTATCAAACGATATTTCTTTTGTTTCGTACAAAATAAAAGCGTTGATATATTTAAAAAATATCTAATAAAAGTGAAAAACAATAATTTAAATTGAAATTTACTATTTTTTTTTTTTATATATATTTCAAGCGATAAAATTTAAATCGGAGGAAATGAAAAAATATATTTTGACAATGAATGTTTACCGTTACACAAACGGAATGAGAAAGAAAAAGGAAAAAGAAAAAGAAATCAAATCGCATTCAACTAAGTAAATGGAGCCAATGGAAAAACGAAACTTACTTGAAAAAGGCACGCCGCTCTTTGCTTGCCGACCTGGTTAGTGGCCCCACATGCGACTGTACCGTAATCCATTTCCGTCGTCGGTGTATAGTTCAGTCTCGAACCGTGGAATTGTTGATACTCTTTCAGACTCTCTACGACTGAGGGAGTTCCGGCTACTGATGCGTGAGAATACCGCGAGTGCGGCATCTCCATCAACTCTCCAGAATTATTGAAGGTCCAGTAAAAGGTCAACGGTGGTGGATGACTCTCTACCGCACAAACCAAAGAAACCGTTTCCTGTTTGAGAGCACCAACCACAACCTCGCTTTTACCCTCTTTGCAAACTGGCGTATCTGTAACATGTTGTAGTTTTCTTTCGTTAACTTCAGAAAAGAATCATTACTTATTTTTTAATTATAACTTCCATCATTATATTTTTTTTTCATTCATGTAAATTATCAATTTTCTCTTTTTTTCTTTTTTCTATTTTTATTGAAGTGAAAACTTCTTTAGAATGGGAGTGATCTGAAAAGTAAATAAACGGAAACGCAGCTATGTAACGAAGCTATGAAACGGCTGCTATACTAAATAATGAGAGAAAAAGAGACAAACATATAAGATTGAGCCGGAATATAGCTATACAGTTTTTCCTATTCTCGGTCTCCTCTTTATGCTATGCTTCGTAGTTATCGCTCCTGGTTGTATATGTATGCGTTTGTGTGCAACTGCATACTACAAAGCGTGGACACGTATTCTTTCGATACTCGAAATGTTTGTAGGTAGGAGCGATAGAAGGGTAGAAGGAATTAACAGAGATAAGCACGTAGGTATGCGACAAAAGTATAAGGTCCAAACGAACCGACGGTCGAATTAAAGAAAGAAGGTGCGTGGACGGTTTTTATTTTACCAAAAACGTGTCATTTCTTTTCTATTTAAAAATGTTTCTATTTTATTGAAAAATTAATATTAAATCATTTATTTCGCAAATATTATAATTAACAATTATGAAATATATAGAATATAATAATTGTATTGCCTGCAATATTTTACAAAAAAATGAAATGATTATCAGATACATCAGAGAAAAAGAATTAGACAACATTGTAGAATATTTTTCTTATAAATATCCAAAGACGTTTTTTTATTATAATGTTTGCGTATTTAGGAAATTTATACTAATTTTTCAATAAAATAGAAAAGTTTTTAAATAGAAGAAACAAGACACGTGACAAAAACAAATAAATCTTATTTATTTTATATTTCCAATAAAAATACAATAATATAACTTATTTTACCAATATAGCAAAAAATTAAAGAAAATAAATTTTTTATAAAAAATGTTTAATATTATAAAATAAAACAACGGAAATGATAAATAGATATTAAGATCATTGTAATTCAAAATCCGATGAAACGAAAAAAATACGACCACAATTGTTCCCTTCTTTAACAGCATCTACAGTTATTAGTTGCAACACAAAAAGAAATAATTGTTTATGCTAACCTATGATAAAGATATATCAAATTTACAGAAAGTGTGAAAAATGTAAGAGAAAAAAAATTCATCTACCTGAGTTTCAAAAAAATATATATTATAATTACTTGGATTAGGACGGCGTATCTTTCTGTCGACAAATATTCTACAATTTTCGTCTCTATCTATGACTATCGCATTCAGCACTCCATCTTGAAGGATAGAATTTTGAAAATATTAGTTTTGTCAGCTACCTACACAATGAGGTCGGTTCCTTATCATGAGAAAAGAATTATAAAAAACAGGGAAGGTCTGTTGAAATTCGATTTACATTTATTGTCTTTATTATGGATGCGATAATATTCATGCATATAGTTTTTTTTTTTACAACGTGTCATATCTTTTCTATTTAAAAATGTTTCTATTTTATTGAAAAATTAGTATTAAATTCTTTATTTCGCAAATATTATAATAAATAATTACATTATTAAATATTACAGAATATTTAATAACTGTATTGTCTGAAATATTTAAAAAAAAAAAAAAGATTACCAGATACATCAGAGAAAAAGAATTAGAGAATACTGTGGAATAAATGAGGAACAGCTGACAAATTCCATTCAAAAGCAAGTAAATTACTGTCACATTTTTATATTTTGCTTCTTTATAAAATATATTTGATACCTAAAGATAAAATATGTCTATTAAATTTGATTTTTATATGTTTTTATAAAAAATATCCAAAGACATGTACTGACCCATGCATATAAGAAAATTATTTTATTATTTGTAATATTTGCGTATTTAAGAGACTTATACTAATTTTTCAATAAAATAAAAACATTTTTAAGATGTTGAACGCCCAGCGTGAATCGGTGGAGCTTATCACGAGGCTGAAATCTGAGACTCGTAGTGTACACAGTTCGATAAGCTGAGAGAGCGATACGATTCAATGCATTTTTTAGATTTTTCGTTGTTCAGATCATTATTTAGACTAGAGTATTTAGTTAAATATTAGTTTAAAATTCCGTTTTTATTGCTTGAATTGTGAAAAGTGCACTTTTTATTAGCTATTCCACCCAGAGACCATACCAGTGACCTTTCTTATATATAATAATAATATTATAATAAATAAATCCTAAAATTATCTTACTCTTAAAACTATCCATTCGTCTCATTCTCTCGAAACGTAGATTTTTGAAGGTTTCCCTTCTAACACGTGTGATCTGCACACACGATTTTTATTGTATCATCTACTCATCAAATTTCTGTGTTAATTATTCAATTATTATCTTATAAAGGTACATGTAAATTAACCTTGACAAAATTTTTTCAATAATACTTTAATTTTACTATTCCAAATATAACAGAATAACTGTAAATTAATTATAAAATCTTTTATTAATATCCTATATTTGTATACGTAAAAATAAATAAGAACCTTTACTCGAATTTACATATAGTCTTCATGGTATTTATTTGGAGATATAAACCGTTAATAAAATATTTGCTTTCATTAAATCAAAATAGAAATTCATATATGTATATAAGAGTCCATTGTATTTTATCTAACAGGATTTGCTAATAAACATAGCGATTCCATTTGTAATTCATTCGTTTTGGAGTAAAAGAACGATAAAAAGTAAACATTAATCAAGACTATCTTATTTAATGTAAAATATTGTTATTTATATATTTTTTATCTCAAATTACGTTATGGTGCATAATATCAAGGGACTACTATTCTATCTATTAATACTTATATTGATTTTCTATAGAGTCATTAAATTCTCTCGTTGAACGATAGAAGCCATATTCTCACAAAAGTCTGAAACTCCAAGACCCTGAAGGAATATGGACGATTATGGAAATCCGTTGTCCACGATTATTGAAATTTAAATAGGATCGCACGGTGTGCGATGGGTAAATCACTCGGTTCGGACGTGCTGCTGTATTCACCTAGTCGAGTTAAGCTATTGCAGCGGTAACCCGTTCAATGTGTCACAGATATGGCACGACTGCACGTTAGTCAATTGCGCTGCTTGACACTTACTGAGGTAATCATCTATCACTCGAGCACGTTTCTCATGTAAGCGCAAATTGCTTTGAGCTTACTTAGATTCCAACGTGAAACTCGTGGCTCTATTTAATTGGGACAAAAGTTCTATAGAGAGTGCTTGACGATACTTTTGGCTACATTTTTTTTTTATTACATTAGTCATCATTTGAAGATATATAGCAAATATATTTATCTATGTACACGGGTATAACAACTGTGATTTGTAAATCTTCTTGTAAACAATATTGTGCTATGGAAAATCGATAAGATTTATGCTTCGAAAAAGATGTGTTGTTTTAACTGTAGAAACGTCGAATTTGGTGAACATAATTCATATTTGAATTTCGAATAAGATTGGATGCTATCAAACAGAAGAAGAAGCGCTGAAGCTGGCGGGCTCGTTCTATCGATCTTCTAATAGGAAATTCCCTTGACATTGGTATTTGAGATAGGCCACGGCATACGGAAGTCCCAAATGGCAAGGAACATGATTTACACTGCCAGAGAAGTCTAGAATCGCGACTATGTATATATAGAATATATGGGCCATGGTAAGGTGGCATTTGATCTTTCTAGTGATATTAATTGCTAATAAGAGAAATTGACGGAACCGGTAGAAGATCAAGCATGTCATGAGACTGTTCACGTTTCCATCTTCTCTTGCTGATGAAAGAGGAGCAAGTTTAGTATCGATCTAATCAAACATAGATTCTCTTCAAACCACAGAGAAATACGATGTTATATATTATATTCATCAAGAATATCCAGAATTTCCAAATCTTGAGTCATTAGTAAAAAAAATATTCTCAATAAATTAATCAACGAATTAAATTTTTATCATAATCGTTCACTTCGATCTAAAGCATCTTTTATATCTTTTGTAAGATATGATGTTATTTTTTATATTCTTTTATAAGATAATACTATGATGTTACAACTAATGTACTAGTTATTTCAGTATTATACTTTATACCAGTGGTTTCCAAAGTGAGCGATATCGCTCTCTTGTGGGCGATGAAGCGATTCAGGGGGGCAATGATGGCCACAGGAGAATGGGGGGGGGATTTTATTTTTTGAATTATTAAAAAAAAAGAGGAAAACAAAAAAATTAATTTTCAGGGGGGCGATAAGAGCGATAAGTAATATTTTTTCTTGGAAAGGGGGCGATAGGACAAAAAAGTAACTGAAATAAGATATTTCATTATAAATGAAATATCCTAATAAACATATATTCATGTCCTTGTCGTATGTTATTCTATAAAGTTATATAAAAATTACATAAAAAAAGTATCTACTGTGAAAAAAATGTATTTAATGAAAAGAAGTATAATAAATATTTCTTTAATACTTTTTAAAAAAAATTTTTTTATCGTTATCTTAAAAAAAACGTGATAAACATTTAATAATACATTCAAGATTAGACATTGATCTAGTATTATTTCCCATTATTATATCCACGATGATGTTATGCGATAAGATTGGTGTTACAGACAAGGTCGACTTAGGACGTAAACACGCATAGATAATGATCGAAGGGCTTTCGAGATTAATATCAGCATTGAAGGGGTTGAAAAGTAACGATATAGATAGTGGACTATCTATGTCTGTCTGTCTGTCTATCTCTCTCTCTCTTTCTTACCCCCCTCTCGCTAACTAACTCTGATTCTCTTCTCTCACGTCACACACCGAGACTGTCCTAGCTTAGCACATTGCCAGACTACCTTCACCCACACATGAATATTCAGCTACGCTTTCCATACATTGAATATGCATCGCAGTCCTTCCTTCCCTCTTAGGTCATTTACAAGATGCAGATACGCCGAGCTACCACCGAGGCCACCTACCATTCTAATAGAATAACCCGCTCTGTGTTTCAGAGAAAACTATCCACCCTATCTTCGTACCCATCCTCTTAACCGTCTTTCTCCCATTCTCCGGTGACCCTTTGACCTTCCTATTCCATCGACTATACTCTAACTCTATCTCTCTCTTTTACATACACATGCCAACGTTGAGTCTCTCTTCTCGTTTCCTCGACGCACACTCTCCTAGAGTTGCTTGCCATCGATTAAGTAATTAACGAGGAGTCGAGGCGTTCGGTGAGAATGGCCAAATTAGAGAAATGCTTTCCCAACGATGGCGAACGCCTAAACCGTAATTGCTCGAGAGAACGTTACACGACGAAATAAAATGAATAACTCTCCTCTTATCTAATTGTAAGTAAAAATATTTACATTTAATCCTGTGTAACTTGATCGTTTGTAAATTCCTTATATCGGATAAAACTTTATTTGTTCGGTCTTTGAGTTATGTTACTTTGCATATTATATAGAAATAGTCATCTGATGACAGTAGTTTATTTTTTATCGGTAATTTGTTTAATCGTGGAATATGTGCACAATTTTTAACTTAAACGAAATTCATCGAATTATTTGGTGATTGATGGGTGATTTTCTCTTACGAAAAAATAGGAATTTCGAATTATAGTGATGACAGTTAATAACAAACGTGTATATTTTGTATGTGCTTTCAGTTTTTGAAATTTTGTCTAACCCTTCGCTTGAGATAACACGTTTATTTTCATTCATAGTAATAGAGATAATTAAAATTAGTAAATGTAGCGTGAGTAAATAGAATCCTACTAGAAAATAATAAAACTTAAATTGACTCACACATTATTTGAAGGGTCACAGGATTACTAGTGGTTTTGCCCTCGCTGTTTACAGCTAGACAGGTGTAATCGCCAGCAGAATGTCGAGTTAAGCCTTGAAGTACCAACGAATGATCGCTGAGAATCACGCCGGCTGTTGCATTGTTCTTTAACTCTTTACTCTAAAATACAAAAGTAAGAAGAGTTAGTATGCTCTTTAAGTTAATCGTTGTGGGACGTGGTAGGGGAATATTAATCAATTTCACAACTACAAAAGCTTAGTTTCTTCGTGAAAAGATAAAAAAAGAGGTTAAAAACTATCCGCTGCAAACAAAATTCCCCTCGATTTTTTAGAAATTCAATTCATTAAGGAATAAAACATAAAATTCGGTTAGCAAAGTCGAAAGAAAAGAAAAAAAAATCTCAAAAGAAATTAATGGAACGCAAAAAATGTTCATGAAGTTAGTGCTTTGAGATTTTACAAATGGATCGAATACTCTGGTATTTTTTTTATATAATTCCTGTTTCTTTGTACAACAAATGGCAATTTCAAGAGTATATTATTTTTTTTCAACAAACCAAAATAAAAAATTATATTCAAACAATTTGTCATTTATGTGCGTAAAGCAGAAAAGAGCACAGATCTACGCAATGCTTACTTTTTCACAATCCGAAAAATGCCGTGCTAAACTCAACAACATGAACAAAAAATAGAATTATTTTAAGTGACCAATTTTTGTAATGAGTCGATGTCGATCGTTACCTTCTGAAACTTTCAACGACAATACTCATGATGGTTTAAATTTGTACTTACGTCTTTGAACCAGGCGAGTTTATACACTTTAGGATTTGCTTTCACTATGCACTCAAAGTACACGTCGTCACCCTCTTTGATGTCATCTGGATTAAGTGTCTCTCCCATCCTCAGAGTCACCACCGGTTGATAGTGTACCTCTAATCGCCACTTGTCCTCCATTGCACTGTCGGGAATCACCGGATTCTCAGCGCGGCAAGTTAGATACTTCCCGTCGTCGTCGATACTCGGCACGAAGCTCAGGACGCTCATTGTACGATCGTCATCCAGAGGATACTGCAATTTAATTAGAAAAATAAAAATTCTGACATTTCGCAACATCTTACCAGAATTAGAACGACGAACGATTTTTCTTGAAAGATCGTTTTATTCATATGGGCAAATTTCAAAGTTCATTTTGATTGATCGAATAAAAAGAAAAAGTTAAGATAACATAAAATACAAAAATAAAACTCGACTTAGGGATCGCAGCACACGCAGTACTCTCAAATGTACTGAGGAATTTTCTCTCGATATTTACGGTGAAGTAGAACTGAAAAAATGAATACAATACGTAAAAGGAAAATACAGTAGGGACAGGTCGCTGACTTTGCTCCCTTTTTATCTCCCTTTTTATCTATCTACCTATCTATCTATCTCTTTCTTTCTTTCTTTCGTTCTTTCTCTCTTTTTCTCTCCTTCGTTTTCCACGATGTCATTTTAATGATAGCGCCGACGGGCATGAATATCGGAGAGAGGCTACGTATCTGCATACATAGAGGACGCGATGAATGGAAGTAATGGTTCGTCAGGATGAATGTCGCGTACCATTCTCTCTCTTTCTCTTTCTCTTTCTCTTTTCCTATATTTTACCTTCCCTCACCTACCTTTTTTTTAGGTTAGTCTTGTTTCTCTTTTTTTTCCTTCCTTTTGTAAACTAGTACTGTGCTGAACTTTCGATTTGTCTCAAAGCGATTCGATAGATATTTTCCGATAGAATCCATTTCAGAATGTCTTCGTTTACTTCTCTCCTTTCTCTCTCTTTCTCTCTCTCTCTTCCATTTTTTTCTCTTTTTAAATCATATATATATTTATGTGTGTTACCTTGAAAGACCGAAATTGAATAATATCAAGATTCACATGGGTGTATGTCCAAAATATTAATGTACAGGAATAAACCCAAAGATTTGGTCTTTAACCGACATATTTGGTATGTGTTGACATTTCACGATGTGAATCTTGACATTTTCCAATCTTCAGTCTTTTTCAGTCTTTTCCACTTTCAGTCTTTTACAGTAACCATATATTATATTACGTACAATATAACAAAGATATAAAATATCTTGATTTATTTCGTAAATTTGTAATACGAATTTTTTTGAATCATTGATTAAGAGTTTTTTAGAAAAATATTAAACGAATGATGTTTTAAATTTTTACGTAGAAATAATATTTTCGATGGTAGAGTAAACGACTAACAACGAATACGAATTAGATTGCGACTACACTTTTGCACGCTGCCACTGCTCGCTTCTCTTGGAAAATCGACGAGAGTCTCGCGTGATGCAATTTTACACCTCATTATGCGAGTTAAGATTTCGTAATAACAGAGCGGATACGTAATATGCTATAATTTTTTGCAAGATAGTCGCTACGAAAGATATCGAATATAAAATTTTGAATACACGCTCGTGTATTCGGGATAATATTCGAGTATAATGACAGGTGAAAAATAATAGATTCTCTTATGCGTCGATAGTTGATTACGAAATAAACGTGATAATACATTGACGAATTTGAAATAAAAAAATGAGAAAGAGAGAGAGAGAGAGAGAGAGAGAGAGAGAGATAGAGGGAGATAAAATAAAAATAAAAGGGAAAAAAATAAACGAAATAAGAAAGTTCGTCTTCGAAAAAAAAAGAAAAATTCACAGAATAACTCGCGAACTTTGACGTTTTTCTCTGTCACCTTGCGCGAGAAGAGAGGCGAGTTCGAGTTCAACTTCAAAGGTCAGAAAACGAAGTGGAAATAAAAAGATAGAACGAGGAGGAAAAAAGAAAGAGTACAAGAGTAGAAAATAAGAACTTGGGATAGGTAAAAGACGAAGAAGGAAAAGAAGGTTGTTCAGAGAGAAAAACGAAATAACCGCAGTCGTTCGAAGTTTGGTTGGAATTCGTGAAAAGTATAAAGAATTTTAGAGGACGCCGGTGGTTTCAAGAATTTCCTTTGCCCTCTGTTACCTCCTTTCCTTTAACCGTTTTCATGATTCAACGCCTGAAACGACCATATCGGGTTGGCGGGACACCTTAATAAAAACGAAAAACAACTTTCTCGCGAGTCTTGCACTCGGGAGATCAACACGCTGAGGAAAAATGAGGAAAAATAAGAGAAGAAGGGGGGAGAAGAAGAAGATCGTCTTGAAAACTAGGAAGGAAAAGATGGAAGATGTGGATGAACTTTCAAACTTTGTCAAGAGAAAAGAGAAAGAAGATGAGTCGCGTTTATGGAGCTCTAAAGCACTGTTTTCAACGAAATCAAGCAACGCTGGTTATTACGAAGCGATGACCCGCCGCTCTGATTTCACCAAACTTTCATAAAACTACGAAGGTGGATAGTGAAAAAAAATAAAAAGAAAAGAACTTACACTCTGCGCCATCTTCTTAATCGGTTTGTTCGCTTTCCACCAAGTTATCTCTACTGAGGGTCTCGATCCGGCCGTTGTACATTCCACCTTGTACATCTTCTCCGCCGAAACTCGTACCTCTTTCGTTAAGATTTGAACAAATAGCGGCTTCACTGCAAATAAAAGATTATTTATTTCTTTTCTAATCTAATACGATTTAATTTATTAGTTTTTTTTTTACGATCAATTGATTTTTTAAATTTAAATATTTTCTAATCAAGGATTAGACGTTTTATCGAATTTTTATTCAATTAATTAGCATATTATTTTAATTCAAATAAAATAGTGATTATAATTTACAATGGAAACTCAACATACTATCATACGTTATACATCAAGTTTCCTGTCAAGTAGAAAGTTAAAAAGAAATCAAAATAAGGAATAATGCAAATTTATACCATTAGAATTCGTTACCCTCCAGACTATCATCTCGGAAAAAAATATTATTCCTCCACACCAATTTGGTTTTCAAAAAAAACATGCCACAATTGAACAAGTTCACAGACTTACAAATAAAATTACAGAAGCCCTCGAACTTAAACAATACTGTGCGGCATTATTCCTAGATGTAGAGAAAGCTTTCGACAAGGTGTGGCATGAAG